GCCTGTGGTCCCAGCTACTTGGGAGGCGGAGGCAGGAGACTCACTTGAGCCCAGGAGTTGGAGGTTGCTGTGAGCTGTGATGCCACGGCACTCTACCTAGGGGGACAGCTTGAGGCTCTGTCTCAAAAAAAAAAAGAAAAAGGTTGGTAAAAGTACACATTGAAAATAATTAAGGGACCTTTCTGCTAAGCTTACCCAGTCTGTGGTGAATGGGGCTCCATTTGCCATCAATGTTCTCACTTCGTCATCTTGGCCTTTCCTTGCTGCTTCTAGCAACCTCTTTCCCAAGTCCACCAAAGACATCTTTGTGCATAGGAACAAAAGTTTTCAGGTAGCTATAACTTAAACACAAGGAAGACTACCTGTAAAATGTTTTTAGAAGGCTTCTTGTACTTGAATATATATATATAAAATACACCTCAAGTTTACTGTCTGGTAGTTACTTTCTTTCTTCCTCATTTAATACGAATATTAAGATACTGGAGGAGGCTCGATGCCTGCAGCTCAGCAACTAGGGCACCAGCCATATACATCAGGCTGGCGGGTTCCAACCCGGCCCAGGCCTTCTAAACAACGAGAACAACAACAAAAAATAGCCAGGTGTTGTGGCGGGTGCCTGTAGTCCCAGCTACTTGGGAGACTGAGGCCAAAGAATCTCTTAAGCCCAGGAATTTGAGGTTGCTGTGAGCTGTGACGCCATGGCACTCTACCAAGGGCAACATAATGAGATTCTGTCTCAAAAAAAAAAAAAAAAAAGATACTTAGGGAAAGTGTCAGGTCCTCATTCTCAATCTCCAGAAAAATATTTTGGAAGTATGTGCAACATACTATTATCCTTCTAGTTTAAGGAACAAAGTAACAAGAAATGGTTTTGCAAGAGTAATTGCAAATAAGGGCTCCCATAATTTGGTTCAAGCACCCTAGTTTTCAGGCAAGAAGCAAGAGGGATGCTCACCTGTGAACCTGCTGCTTAAACCAAATTATAGGAGCCCTTATTTGCAATTACTCTTTCTGGATGTTTGTAGGTCTTTGGAAGGCACAATGAAACAGGACACATCAAAGTTTTTTTTAAATCAAACTGCACCTACTAATCTTTTTTTATTTTTTTATTTTTTGAGACCGAGTCTTTTTTTTTTTTTTTTTGAGACAGAGCCTCAAGCTGT